TCGGGTTAGCGGTACCGGTGGAGTCAGCTAACGACGCCAGCACACAAATACAACCCGGGCCGCATCTCCAGCAGATGCCGCCCACAAAAACACTAAAATAAGCCGCTACAATCCGTCACAACACATCAGTACTGAGAGACATTTCTGTAATTATCTCTCTGCTGGACGCTCCTGTGTCTGATTTCAACGCTGCGGCGCCAAATTTTCAGGTTCGCGCAACGGAAATTACGTCAGCGAACTTTGGGCGGCTTAATTTCCAGCAGCCGGCGCACGGCACGGTCAGGCATGACGGCGTACGGCGAGGGAGGAGATTTACTTTTTTATTGGATGGATGGATGGATGGATGGATGGATGGATCAGGGGAAAGTCAAACCTCGCCTCTTAATGTTGTGCTGTCCCAGTAAATCTTGTCTTGTTTACCAGTTTAAATAAAATGCATTCCAGTTTAAATTCTGCCAGGAACGGTGCTCTAGGAAAATCAGGTTCTGACGTTTGTCATGCATGGAGTGACACGCTGAGAAAGGGTCAGCCGTACTCATTAGATTGAGGCTGAGGGTCAGTTGGTTACGTCAAGATCGAGAAAATATAAATTTTATGTGTTTCTTGTCTTGTGCTGCAAAACTCAGCAGTTTTATAACCTGAAACATAAAACCCAGTCAGGTCCAGACTGATTCTGATGAGACCATTTTAAGATGTGTTTATTGCTTTTTCTGATCAACATGAACTTATTGGGTTCACCCAAGAAATCTGAATAATACCTCTAAGATTATTCATCATTAATCATGCTGTGGTTTAGTTCATAAATGAAACGATCCCAAACATCTGAAACAAAGTTCTGCAGCTCTAAAATCACAGAAAAATATTGAATAAATGTCCTGCTTTTATTTAATCACAAACAGCTTCAAAGGTCCAACTCCAGATTCCTGCTGGTCCTGTTTTCTGTCTGACAGCGGTTCAGAAACACAGATTTTATTACAATCACTCAAGTTTCTATGAAAACATTAGTTTTAATCATTAAGGTTTCTGTGAAAACACCTTTAATCATTAAAGTTTATATGAAAACAGCTTTAATCA